TTATTATTATTATTATTATTATTATTATTATTATTATTAAACAAGTAAAAAGCAGATACACTTCTAAACATCAAAACTGGATTCAGTTTATATGGGATTTTGAATACGAATCAGATAAAGCCATTATTGCCCCCAAATATGCCACTTATCTTTTTTCCAAATTTTATTTGCCTTAAGGCAGAAGGCTTTTGAGTGTACAGTGGCATCTTTTGTCAAGTACATTGTGTTGCACTGGTGGCTGAAAAATAAACATTTTTTTTAAGATTGCTTCTATTTTTTATTTTGAAACATTAAGAAACACATTTGATTGAATCATATAAAATGTACATTTTTGTAGACCAAAACCATTAAATGCTGGCAATTTCGTATGGTTCAACTATATAAAATTCTACCTCTCCTCATATTCTACCTCTCCCCATTAACAGCTGTTAACATTTTTGTCATAGATGCTTTCACACACTTTTTTTTCTTTTTTGGTGGCTGACTGGTTCGGGGATCCACACCTTTGACCTTGGTGTTACAGCACCGAGCTCTAACCACTGATCTAACTGGCCAGCCCTTCCACTCACTTTTTAGATGAAATAAACCGTTAGGGATCAAGCTAAGGTTCTCCTTATGACCACTGCAAACCCCTGGCTCTCTCCCTCTCCAGAGGCAGTATAATCTGAGTTTTATGGGCATTCTTCCCATCATTTCTCATGTGTGTACCGAGATGTAAATCTAGTTTGATTTATTTTTTCCTACTCTTTAATATCACTTTAATCCTTGATTGTCCTCTCCTCCCATTGCAAAGAGCAAAAGGGATAGCTTTTGACCAGCTTCCTAGTGTAGATCCTTTCTTAACAAAATTTCACCCATATGGTTTTTCTTCCTCTTTTTTCTGAAAATTTATTAAACGTATCTTAATAAAACCTAAAGCTCTCTTTGAATTCTCTGTTTGATAAATTTTGAAGAAAACTCAGAGAAGACAACCATAGCCTAACTCTATGGCAGTTCAAACCCAGATAACTCCAGGAAAATGAAAATTCTCAGTTTTTCTTTTATCTTCAAACTCCTCTTAATCCCAACTTTCACACCCATCAAGAAGAAAATGCATTCTTACGCATTCTTTTTAGATGCATCTGTTCTTTTATCAGTGAGCCTCTGTCATGATGTTAATAAAACAGTGACATGAACAAGAATAGAATGAAATGATCTATGAACAGCCACTACATCAAGATGCATGATGTGGTGAAATATGGACCAGATCAGAAGGAGGAAAATTCTCACAGTCAACCAGAGCAGCAATGAAAACAAAGACAGACAAATAAGACTGTCAATATTTTAAAAATTGAAAGTTGGAAAGAGCATTGCACTTGGCCCAAATTCCTCTATGTGATACTCATGGTGCTGGAACTCCTTTGCAAACTCTTTTTCATGATATTCATTCATTTGAAGTAACATCACATCAACTTCTTCTCCAGACTAAATTATTAGAAATTCTTTACTCCATTCTCAATCAATGTCAAAGTTATAACACATACAAGATTTTCAAATCTAAGTTGTTCAAATCCTGAATTAAGTTCTATACTCATATTTTGAATCCCAACTGAAACTAATGTTTATAATATTATAATGGGGTGGTAAAACCCATTTTGTCACTATGACATATCTCAATGTTGAATAATTGTATTCCACTATATCTTCCCTCTTTGTTAGTTTGCTTTATCCTTACCACATTTGTATTGCAGCCTTCCTCGCTCACATTAATAAGTGTGCTACAGGGATATTACAATTGCTTTTAGCAAAGAGAGATTCTGCTTGAAATATTTTTATGACTTCTCAATATGGCAAATTTAGGCATTAAAGTAAATTTCTCTGTCACAATTAATGTTTAATATGGATTTTTTTTAATACTAGTAGGCAAACATTAGGTTGTATTTATTTAAATAAATGCAGTTTTCCCCAGGGGTTCACTGTCATTGTGCAACTCAATATACTGGAGATCCAACATCTTTCCTAGCTGTTGGCCATTCTTCTATGTAATGGTTGTTGTTACCATTGAGCTTGAATAAAATATTCTTTCTTTTCCTTGCAGTTGATAGAATCTAGGATGCCCAAGGAAGCACTAGTGGTTCAAAATGTGTTGCCAGTCTGGAAACCTGAGCTAAATGTGATTTATAACGATTTATCTTTCCTTAGACAAGGTCTTCTGGTTTAATAACTACCCACCCTACCTCTCTACCTTTTCTATATTCATTAAAAGTTCTCATTTCTTAATTTTACCTTAATGTAAGTCATCCAAACTGTTTTGAAAAGTTGGCAGGTTCTAGAAAATATACCAGAAAAAATAAGGATATGAATAACCTGATCCAATTTAAATAGAATATTAAAACAGAACCCAGATATCATCTCATGTTGAGTAATAGAAATATACCATGTGCCATATATGTAATTTAAAATTTTCTAGTAGTCAATTAAACAGATAAAAAGAAGTAGATAAAGTTATTTTTAATAACATATTTTATTTAATCTAGTACAGCCAAAATATTATCAAT